ATTTGAGTGTTTACCCCTCTTTTTGCTGCTTCTCATTTTCCACAGCAGTTTGGTTAGTCTGGCTTGTGGCACAATGGGTTCCTATAGGGCTTTACCATCCACAAGGCATTACTTGAGTGTTTCGGTAAATTTGGCATGAACATTGGAGTCAGTTCTAATAATAAATGAGATTTTGAAGTTCACTGGCAAAGTCTTGCTAAAAAGTAGAAGAAAATCCATTTTTCTAGGCAGGTGTCACTTTGGCAAACAGATGAGGAAATAGATAAAAGAGACAGAGCAAGTCAGGCTGTGTTAATGTAGCTTTCTAACTGCTCAGGCTGTGTGCAAAGCAGYCAAATAGAATCTGGCTGACTGTAGTAAAGAAGTGAGATTAAACCGTCTAGGGCAAGGCAGAAATGCTCTGGAATAAGTAATGAATGTGTTTATCACATGGCACAAAGCTRCTTTGTGTCTCAGGATTCATAATAGGCTACTATAGCTACTGACATGTTGACATTGTACCAGGTAAAATATCAGAGTCTATGGAGTCTATGCGTTCATGCGGCTCAGAGAAAGTAAAGACTGACCTTTATCCTAGAGAAATAGCATCTCTTCACTCCTTGCWCTTCTGGGAGCCTTTAATGATTTTAGGTCACGACCCATATTCAGTATACCCTGGATGTGTGCAAATGACCCCTTTATGGAATGAAGAGGGAGCTGTAGTAGGTCCCAGAAAAGATGTCAGGTTTGTATGCTCCATTGTGCCAACTCCTCTATGTCTTATCTAAAGATTTCTTAAATCTGCTTCAGTGCATCTGACTGCTTCAAAAKGTCCATGGGGCATGAAGGCAGAAGAAATGACAGGCCACAAAGGATGTGATAGAACAGATATTCCTCTTTCTCTGCATATGAGTATTTTGGAGTTATAGGGCAGGAGGAGGCTCATAAAGAAGAATGGAATAGAGGAACTCTAGATAGGGCAGAGGGGGTGGAGGGGAAGGAAGGTGGTATGGTGGTATGATCATTATTATCCAAAGTACAGGTATAAAGACATGAATTGGTGTGAATATACTGTGTATACAACCAGAGATATGAAAACTTGTTTTCTATCTGTATAATAAGAATTGTAATGCATTCCWCTGTCATATATAAAAAAATAAAATATATATTTAAAAAAAGAGAAGATTCCTTCCTCAGTGTGTCTTAATGAATTTATGTGAGTTAGAAGAGTTGATATGATCCCCTCCTCTACATCCTGCTGGCCTGTAATTCTGAGACAGAGAGCTGTTGTATAATTCTAGGAATATAGCCTCCACTGACTATGGCATTGTCATCAGCAAATAGAGTTGGCATTTGGACAAAATTTTATTCTGTCTACTTTGAAGTGAGATTACAAAGGTCTTTCCTAGACATCAGTTAGAAATTAGCTATCAGCTCTACATTAAACAAACCTGTCTGGTTTGGATCATTGGCTAATTGGKCCAGCTTTTGGCCTACACACCTGGAAGAATGTTTTGTTACTGTGTTTTCAGATTCAGGGTTAAAGGAGTAAGTAGTCTTTGTCGAGCTACTATTTTGTGMTTACAAGAGATTTTAGAAAGATTCTGTCATCCCACCATGTAAATCCTCTATAAGTAAAGTATTACCCTACCCCATTTTATAGATAGTAAATTAAATGCCAGAGAGGAAAATAAAATCACAGATTTGTCCAATTACCAGGAAAGCTTTATTAGAGTTTGTATGATAGCTTGGTTGGTAGGCTTAGGCTTTTATCACCTGCAAGTCAATGTGAGAGTTTATCTGTAAACTTCTTTAAAATTTTTGTAAGGGATGGTGCTGGGATTTAAACCCAGACAAGTCTGTTGGAATATGCTATTTCACTTTATGATTCAAGTAATTAGAATTTTTTAAAAGTTATACAATTTTCTGGGAGGTTTTTTTGTTTTGTTTTTTTTTTTTTTAGTCAGTGCTCATTTAAAATTTTTTTTTTAAATATAATCCCTCCATTCTTCAATATGGAAGACCATCAGAATCCTATCATTCATGCTAGGGAGGATTTAGTCTGTCTAGAATGATGATAGGAGGCACTTTTATTGTGTTGTTAGTTTTGATGTTGTTGTTTTCATTGGAATTACAAAATATGTGAGTTTTTCATTTCATTAAGTATTTAAAGATGAAGTTCAAAAACTCACTCTGTTCATGGTTCAAGGCCTTATGATAAAGGCAGGGACACCATAATGTTTTAGAGTTTAGGGTATGATTTTGCATAGATGATTTTCTTGTATTAAACTTACATTAAAAAGTTTTAGACTTTAATCACATAATTAAGATCAGCATTTTAGTGTAATTTATAAGTATAGTGTTTAATGGAGAGCTTGGTATAGTTAGCATAGTACTGCTTGATTCTCATGTCAATGTTTATTGCTTTTTTTTTAGAGTTGGCTTGCCAAAAAAGTAGACTGCAGTAATGCATTTAATGAGGAAGCTAGCATTCCAGAATCTTTTTCATTCCTAATACTTAGCAAGATTAAAGTTTACCATATATTCCCAAAATTATTCTGAATATGGAAAATTTATAAGATTTTAAAAATATAAAGGTATTTATGTACTATTTGGACTAGTACTACATATTTTTTAGGAAGACTAACCAATTAATATATAAAAAAATTCATATGACTTCATCACCATTTCACCTGTAGATTTTGTTTGTTGTTGTTTTTAGGCTAAATTGATGTGGCAGGGTCTGATGGGACAAAACTAATGTCTACCCATTCAAGGGGCTTTGGGATATTTATGTGTGTGGGTTCAGCACTCTTTCCTTATTTTCATGCCCTCCCTCTGCATAGATTTTTTTTACAGCACTTCTGCCTTGAAGTTCAAAGAAGATTAACGAGGACACGAGAAACGTAGGAATACTCATTTTAATAGGTTACTTAATAGTAGACAGCAAACCTTAGGGAGACTGATGTGGTTTAAAGGCACACATCTGCATTCCATTTGACCTTCTCGATTGACACGAATTTGATATGGGATTTCACTTGTTGGCAGGTAGCATGAGATGTCATAACTTAGAAATTTTCCACTTGGTGAGGAATGTATTTGAATCAGGTCTCTACTGGGGCTGGTATCTGTGAGCCTACCCTAGAGTCTGGGATTTACAGCTTATAACTTTGTTTCTTCCTCAAAATGTTACAAATCTCTATGGTAACCATTAATGATGTCCACATGATGGAGAGAGACATTATAGGAAGCCTATTTTCTATAATTTGTGTATATCAAGGGACTCTTATAAAGATTTTCATATACCTAAAATTAGTGAGAAATTTYGGAACAACTACTTATTCTAGAATCTTGCATAGTTTCTTGGGGATATAGAAGGAAAAATACAGGCTACCTGTATTAAAGAATTTTATATTTTGATTATACATTTCATACAAATTAATAACGAATTTCATATAAACAAATATAATTATAAAGTTACACATTAGAAAGTGTTCCATTATTTTTACTTTAATGCATTAGTGCTTAGCAATAAAATGGAATATTGTAATTGAGATACAACTTATCATGGAATACTTCCTGGAGTAGGTGAATTTTGAAACAGTCCAATCAGAATCACTTTATGGTAAGGTATTCCCATCCTCACAGAGGAGGGCATTGCTGGTAGATAATTGATGAGCAAACTCAGAGATATGCATAATATAATTTCACAGACAAGGATAGTATCTTTACTATTGCAGGAATTTTTCCTCATAGTTTAGATAGTTTTTACCTCAAGGCCACATCTGTTAAGAGAAACCATCTCCTCTAGGAAAAAAGGAAACACTAATATTGACTCAGATAGCTATCCTTAGGAGTAAATTTTTTAAAKACTTTATTAAAAGGAAACAATTAGGTTGGCTTTTAAGATGGCCAGATGAAAATTGGCTCCTTTTCATTTTTGAAGGTATTCAAGTGAGTGGATCTATTAATGAGGATTGTAGACATGAGAAAAGGGGGTCTTTTTCACTGACTTAGGACCTGGTTTTTCTGTTGACTCAGTGTCCTAAGTTTTTTGGGGGTAATTTATATTTTGAGCTCAGGAAAGAAAAATGAATGTGGAATAAAGATTTTCTGTTTTAGTTTTTAAAGATTAAAATATTGTCATGTTTCTTTCCATACCAGAGAGAAAAACCCAAAGCAGTGATTTTTAAGCTTGTTTCAGCTTCTTAACYTCCAGGCTATACAAAGAAAAAAATTTCCAGAGACTTCTTGTGGGCATGAGAGCAGGTGATTTCTGTGGGAATGAATGCAGAGAGAGAATTTTCAAACACCGTAACCAGGACCCTATCCCCAGAGTACATGTCAAATCTTAGAGGAAGATGGTCTTATATACTTTGTAAAAACACCTGCATTTATTTTGATATGATGTGATCATTGAGAAACCTCTGAAGTGTTCTGTGCTCTTTAGAGGGGCTGTTACAGTATCAGGTCCTAACAGCTTACCTGTGATTTATCAGGTTTGCTGGTTGGAATTAAGTAATGATGTGAAAATGAAACACAATTTTTTTTTTTAAAGCAAGGGTTTACAGTGATGATATTCTAGAACTCTCCACTCCCAGTCTCTATTTTCATTCTATACAATTTACCCTTTGGGGTAAGTACTGCTACAAGAGTAGGATTTGACTCACTGCTATCTCCTGAGGAAGACCATGTGGAATAAAGTGCTAATGTTATGTCAGACTGATTCTGTCTCTTTCCTTAGGTAGCTTATTTATGATCCCAAAAGGAAATAAAGCTCCAGAGTCTTAGTTGTTGGTCTATTTGTTTTAAGGAATTGGGCTTAATAAACTTTACACACATACTTACTCACACACTTGCGGGTTGGGATATAGATATGCCATTTCAATAAGTAGTTTCTAGAGCACATTTACTAGAGAAGCTGGAGTAATTTTTAGAAAATGGTATGCTATTGGCTTTATCTCCTATTAGTCAAACTTAACTACAGTGATTCTCTCTCTCTCTTTTTTTTCTCCCCTCAGATGTACATCCAGACAACAACACTTACTGTTTCCATGAGCTTAAGTGCTTCTGTGTCTCTGGGGATGCTCTATATGCCCAAGGTTTATATTATAATTTTTCATCCAGAGCAGAATGTTCAAAAACGCAAGAGGAGCTTCAAGGCCGTGGTGACAGCTGCCACCATGCAAAGCAAACTGATCCAAAAAGGAAATGACAGACCAAATGGCGAGGTGAAAAGCGAACTCTGTGAGAGTCTTGAAACCAACAGTAAGTCATCCGTAGACTTTCAGATGGTCAAGAGCGGGAGCACTCCTTGATAGATGTACGTTGAATATTCTTTTACTAAGTCTTGGGGACTATGCTACATGGTTCTGGGGGCGTGGAGGTAGCCACACACCATGAGACCACACCAACGGTCAGAACCATTTGAGAAATGAATTATTGCCAGCAGATTGGCTGTCACCAGAATGCAAACATCCTTCTGTAAAACATGGTACTCAGATGTTTCTTTCGAGGAGTTACAGAGCCTGATGTTTGGAACTATCTTCCATTTTTAAATGATCTTTTGACATTTAGGAATATTTTACCCTTTTGAGGGGTTCAAKATTGGCTGCTCTTTACATTTTGAAAGGAGCATACTCCTGCAGACCTTCCATAAATAAATGATGTCATCTGGATCCTTAGGGATATGAGAAAACTAGTTAGTCAATACGTTTAATTAAATCACAGTTAGTACTTGTCTCGCCTCTTCTTTTAGCATCCCTCAGTTTCCTTTCTTGGATAGGYTTTGAGAATTAGAGCTCTTCTCTGAAAGTCAATGACCATGAAAAATGAATCYTTGCTACAACCACACCCTCTTCTCCTTTCCTCACCTACCTTCTGCTTCTCCTTCCTTCTACCACCCTAGAAGGAGCACATGATGACAATATACTGATTTTCAGGCTGATCTAGTAGGATTTAACTCATCCATGAAAGTCCATCTTCATATCTGTGGGAGAGTAGCAAATAGATTGAARATCTGTATTGCAAAAAGTAGAGTATAGTAAAAATTGTAAACTTTATATTACTAGGTTCTATAGGTGTCCGCCCCAACAAAAAAGGAAAGCTGAGGTCTTTACATTAGAGTGGCCTCCAGTCTTTTGAAAATACAACATCAGTATTTAATATGCAAAAATACTCTATTCCTCTCAGTTTCCTTCAGCAGGCTGTATCCCCTGCTCACTGTACTGTTAACACTGAATATAGAAGACTAAGAGTTGGTTTTATTTGGCTTATTACTCTAGCAACTCATGATCTTCAGTGGTTTCCTCCCCTTGTATAAAGATTTGCAGGTGAGCATTGCTCACTCCAATGTCCCATACATAAAACTAGCATCAGATTATTAGCATTGCTTAATTAAACTCATTGACCTGGAATTATTGGCCAGATTGGCTCTGGGAAGATTACCTATGGATCACTAATACCAAATTCAGTCACTTTTAGAGAAAGGAAACTTATAAGAATTCCACAAATACTCCCCCAGTACTCCCTTGTCAACATGCAACCTTGAGAAACTGGGAGAGAAGGTGCAATGAGGATGGATTTTAGTGACAAATTGTTATAATCATCTCTCATTAGAGCTAGGCAATTTGCTAATAATGGGCTTCTTTTGGCTCTTAGCAAAAAATGTATTATAACTACTATTATGACTACTATTTTAAAGGCATCAGAGTAGAATGCTTGTGATTTGAGGGCAGAATTTTATCTGTTTTTCTACCTGGAAAGCAACAGTGTAGGAAGTTAAAACCTATTGCAGGATGCCAATAAACTGCTGTTGGCAAAGACACACTAGAACACTGGCACCTCTCAGTGGGACTTCTCAGAGTCCATTGTACCTGTATTTCAATAACAGCCCAGAGACTGATGCAACATAGTTTTAAATAGGTACAATCAAACTTCCAGTGAAGTAAATACCAATCATCCCAGACTCACCTATGGAAAATGATGAAAATAAAAAGAATAAATAGATTCTTAAAAAGAAAAATAAATCTCCAACATTTCCTGTTTTCTTTGTGTTATTTTCTCTTTATGTTGAAATGGAAATAACAGCCTGCAATCATTTCTCTACTTTCTCTAAAATAAATGTGGAAGGTTTCAAACATGAGGCCTGTTTGGAGGGTAAGCCTGTAATGAGCTGGAAGGTAAGAAAAAATGGATAGATCAAGACACAGTCAGTGACTGCCTGGACAAAGGCAAATGGTATTTTGAAGATTTTAGCATGATCTTTTTTTTTTTTTTATAGGAGTGGTTTAGGTTGAAGTAAATTGGGTTAAAGTGATAGTAATTTGAACATTCAGGAGATACAATATATGAAACCTTCACATCKTCCCATAGTCCCACCTCAGGTCATCATGGTCTGCCTTTGTGTACTTACATGACCATCCTATGATAAAAGGGTGGATTAGTGTGTTTTAAAACCAAGCTTGTAACTCAGTATATGGAAATCCACATGAGAAACCAGACATGGGTATCATGGGTTCCTTGAGTCTCACTTACCCTTAGTCCATGTACCTTGTATTAGTGAGAAATCTTCTGATTCCCAATCCCACTGAAAAGTATTCGTGTGATTAATAACTTGCATGTAATGTTTTCTTCTAAAAATATGTGCTGTTTTTAGAAGTATAACTGAATATTAGAGAAGCCTTTGCCATTGGATTATGGGTAACAAGCCCCTTACCTCCTCACATTTAGAATACCTCCTCTCAAAACAAGTAGAGTCTGTTCTTGATGATCCGCAGAACCGTATCCATGTTGCTGTGTCCTCACACTTTCTGCTGCCAAACTTCTGTTAAGTCATCAATACTACAATCAAATCATGACATATAAAATATGGTTTTGTAAACTATAAAGCAACCAGAGGATAAATGTATGGGTATCACTGCTGCCTTAAAACTGTACATTGTTCTGTACTTAATAGGAAAGAGTATCTTGGAATTCAATAACTATTTTTTGGCAGCCCTTTTTCTTTGGTAAATATGTGGAAGATTTTTATGATTATGGCTACAATTCCATTGTTGGGATTTTTTTTCTTTCTGACCAAATAGTTGTGTTTTTAGACATATAGAAAAATACTTTTCTTTCATGGTCACAGAGCCATATAAGTCCTCAAATTTCAAAAACTCATCTTAAATGTGACTTGTTCATGTCTGAAATTCTGATCACATGTTCAAGATTTAAGTTTTCAAAATTAATGGAMTAAACATAAGTAATACGAAACTGGAAAGAAAATCAATTTGCTGAATTTGCAATCTACTACACTTTATGTAAAAAAAAAAAAAAAAGGACATGTTGTTTCAGAACAGGGTGTGAAGGGAGTTAGAAACCAAGTTGGTAAATATGAATTTTGCCAATTCTACCCAATTAACCAATGCTCTATGTGATATTCCTTAAGCTGTGTTCATGAATAAGTTATGAAAACAGCTGCTACTGGAGGTAGATTTTGCTTTCTCCAGCATTTGAACACAGTGTGGTATACACAAGGAGAGCTATCATTGCTGTACTGAGAAATTGATTTTCACATACGCGTATTTGTTGCCACTGTAAAAATTCTCCTTATTAATTCATCTATGCATCTTTAATCCATTTTGTTTTTTTAAAACATCTGAAATAAAGATGCATGCAGGAATTTGCTAATCATAGTTGGTTCCTTGTCATTGYTTTCATGTTGACAAAAATTTGACAAAATTTTTTCCAGAACTTAATTTTTAGAGCCAATGGAAAAATTAACACCAATTTCCTATGAATTATAATCTCATTCTCAATAGAATTATACCATGTTTCTTTTTTAAAATTACTTTGGATGTTCAAAAAATAAAGAATGAATCAATGATTAGCTACAGAACTTCCAAATTAGAATTATCCTTAAAGATGGTGTGACCCACAACATCATAGGTTGAATGACTTCTTCACATATCATCCTTTTCAAGGTCTTTCTGGTTCTTGTTCCTCTGCTTTAATCATGATTTTTCCTTTCTGTCTTCTACAAATTGTATAATTATGTGTTCTTCATTTTCAGATATTGTTGGTGATACTGAATAGTAGAAAAGATGAGGAATACTTTTAGTGATTATTTTTTTCTAATATATGATCATTATTCTTCACTTTGTCTACAAAGGTTATATGAAAGTCCTTCAAAACAGAGCTCAAAGAAATTTGGAGACACATGAGAGCATTATATAAATTTAAAAAAWTTTAAAAGTCAACAAATATAAAAATCATTTTGCTTCCCTTCATGCCAAACAAGTCTAATAGATCCTACCTTTKGGGGAGGGTGAGTTGAAAAATAGGACTCCACATTGGTTCTTCTAAACTACTTCTGTTCCTCTTTAGACACCATTTTCCTTCGTACTCTCAAACACCCAATGCGTTATTCATTTTGTAGAAAATAGAAGATAACATAAAATCAGGTTTATGTCTACTTCATTTCTATAGCATCACAATAACAACCTTGAGGCATGAGCAAGGTAGATAATTATGGCTGTTTTTGTTGTATAACTCACAATATTYAATGACAAAAATCAGTGAGAATGTCTACGATTTGCACTCCTTGGGCTCTATGTGTTAATTTCAGTGACTGTGGACATTGTAGGACCTTGATGTCTATAAGAACTTGTCAGGTCAATCACTGGTGAAGAAATGAGGAGTGATTATCCATTATTTCAGAGGATTAGCTATGTGATTTCTAATCATTTTCATTGTTCAGGAACTAAATTATTTTCTAAAAGTCTATTTCCCCCTGGATTGGATTTATATATTGAAATACAAACATGTTTTACTTTTTTATACAATCATTCATTCCTAAATTTCAGTGAAAAGAAAAAGGACATCATGTTTGAGTTTTAGGATCCAGATTTATTTCATTATAGCATTCAAAAATACAAAAGAATTTATGTATGTAGATTTATTTTCACTGGTGATTTAAACATGAGTACAAATTTGATACAGGATATTTTGTTATCAATATCTAATAGTCTTATAATAATGAGTTTTACTTCAGAGAAAGTCAGTAATAGAACAATTAAATATTAATGTCCTTCTTTGAGTCTTTATTTATTTTCTAAACATCTCCATTTGTATACTTTGGGTAAAACCAAAACAAACCAAAAATATGTACTGCCAAAGCACATACTTATTTCAAAGTTTACAAATACTGTATGTACTTGACATTTTATCACATTCACCTCTAGAGTATAAAATTATTGTTTATTTTTTAAATGGAAGATATATTCATGATCAAGGCACAGTTAATTTGTGTATGTGTGTGTGTGTGTGTGTGTGTGTGTATGTATGTCTGTTACAACAAAGCAGCTTATCTGTGTTAGAGATTCTATACATCCTTCACAAATTTAATTTTACATAATCTGATACTCTATTAAAACTTAAACTTTGAACTGCTAGAAATTGTATTTCCATAGAACAGATGGGCAGATATAAAGTATTTTCCAGAAATGAGGTACAATTTCACAAACTGGTTTCTCTTTTTTTTTGTTTGTTTTCAAGTTTTAAGGAAATAAATTTGTATTTGTTAAAATTTTAAAAAGTAGGAAAGATGTTCTTTACAAATAATTGTGATCGAATGTGTATTCCAAGCAGAAAAGCAGGATAAAAGGCTTTTCCTCTAATATTCCATATCATACTATATTTGTGTTCAATAGGAATGAGCTTCTGTTATTTAATAAAAGAGTGAATTGTGGGTGGGGCTGCAGTTGTAGCTCAGTGTTAGAATGTTTGCCTAGCCGTGTGAGGCATTGGTTTCCATCTACAACTAAAAAAAAATATTTTAAAATTAAAAAAAGAATGAGTAGTGGGGAATAGATATGTTAGGAATTTCATAGTGGGTTATTTTTATTTAACCTTTACTTGGTTATCAGATCAGACCCAAGGAATTGAGGTCTTTGGTGTAGACTATAAAAACTTTTTTTTTTAATTTGGTAGGACAGATAAGTTATCTGTTCTTTTATTTTACATACATGTAAATCTTTGTTAGTCAAAATTTACAGTTAAATATAATTTTACCTAAATTTATTAAAAATTACCATTTTATATTTTTACTTTTCTGCTAATTCTCCAGGAAATGAGAAATGAAACTAGTAGTTTTTACAGACTAAAATTTCTGCTTGTCTTTTTATCTCGATGATCATTGAATTCCTAGTAGGTAGTTTAAAAATAATGAATAATATGATTTAAGAACTGGATATCACAAAACTATCATCACAGATTTGCATTTTAAAATTATATCAATAAAATAATTTATTAGTATGCTATTAATTTGTCCTAATTTATCCCAACAGCTTCCTCTACCAAGACAACATATATCAGCTACAGCAATCATTCAATCTGAAACAGGGAAATGACAATCTGAAGAAATATGGTATGTGATCTTAAACAATGAACATGAGACCACAAAAACTRACTCCTGGAGATCTCCATAGACTACAACCAATCAAATCAATATTCAGTCTAGTAAGGAACAAAAATTAGCCATGAGCCAAAAGTATCAGTAACGGGGAATGAAGAACCCCGCTTTATAAAACACAACCAATGAGTGTCAAACTAAAGTATTGCTTCCTCATGAGAAGTTAAAAAAAATCACAAAAGGAAAACTAATGTTAGCTTGTGAAAAAAAAATATGCTGTTGAAATAAACCATGTCTGATGTTATTCTTGTAAGTATTTTTCTGTGATTGTGAGAACTCCCATTCCTGTCCCTCATTGTTCAACTTGTATAAGATGAGTCTGTTTCTTGTAATGGCTGACCGGATTGAAGCCCTGGGTTGTGCTAAAAAATAAATGCAATGATTGACGCATGCAATTTTTTATACAAATAATTTATTTCTAATAATAAAGGAATGTTTTGCAAATGTTGAGAGTTGTTTCGTTCCAGTTTTAAAGCTAAGGCAAGCTCTTCTTTCCAGTTGGCACTTCTATTGGTATTTAGCCCCTTCCTGGTGTCCAAGGAATTGCCATTTCCTGAAGGAATGTGTTTTTGTATGTTTGTATATATATATGGGGAAAATTGTCTTTTATTTCTAGATGAAAAGAAATTGCTTGTGTAAGATTTTGTGAATATTTCCAGATTTCTGTGATAGCTTTTCATAGTAACTGMTTCTTTTATGAAGAATCAAGTAATAGCTTGAGGTAAATTGCTTCAAGTTATTATAATTAACAAATGATGAGTTAAATTTTCCTTCACAGAATCTGATATGAAAAATTCCCACATAGAAGTATATCAAAGCATCACGGAAATTCTACATTACATTTCTAATTCAAAGCTTCTGCATAGTGAAGTGCTCCCTGGTATGTGGTGTTAACCTTTTCTCACCTGGGCTTGGTAGTTGCTGAAATCAGTGAAGTAATGGGCCTTACCCAGTGCATTTTCTGAAGCACGGAATTAGCATATTTATTCCCTTGGCATCACTAAAGAAACCACAGTTCAAGTAACATGTCAATGCTTTCTTATTTTCCAAATGAAAACATTCATTGGTTCATAGAACAGTATCATTAAAGAGAGAGAAAACAGGGAGCCTGTCTCATACTAATAAACCGTGCCAGGATAGATAAAAGGAGCCTGTTAATGGCTCTCAAATCTGTTACCATTTTTGTCATGGGCTCCTCTATTCCATACAATCCCAGTCATCCATCAAATCAATGGGTCTCTACAATCATTTTGTTAGTAAATGTTCTCTCTGCTGAGTTAGCTTGGATGGCTCATTGAACCTCTTATAGATATAAAGAGCTATCTGTGCTCTGTAGCTTCAACCCAGATATTAACAGTCACTTTATTTAATAGAGATGGTTGAAATAGCGTAGCACAGGCGCCTTCCACATATAACCACATGTCCTAGCTACTTAGGAAGACATACTGCAACAGGTAGAAGGAAATGAGTATTAATTGACCTTTTATTGAGTTTCTCCTAATAGTATTTATTCTTTTAGATAATATTTAAATCAAAGAGTAGAGGTGTCATTTTCATGTCCTCAGATAATCTGAATTACTGATAATACAATCTTGTAATCAGAATCCTAAACCCACCTCTAGGTGTGCCTTTCTAAAAAAGACCTAGACTAAGCAAAATAAACTGCATATTTATTGTACCATGTAGTTCAGTACCAATAGCCATACCAAGAAATAATTAAAATCATAATTTTAACTTTTAAATTGACAGTTTTCTTCTTATTAGAGATTATTGGTAGTTTATAAAATATTTTGACCTGAGTTTAAGTATCCATGTATTTGGGTGATAAAACTGTTTGAATTTTACAAGCCTTGCATTTCATTCTAAAAACAAAACTCAAGTATATTTTTATGTATTAATTGACTCTAATCAGGGTAAGTAGGTGTAACAGGGTTAATATGAGAGCAAAGCTAGCTCTCAGGCCAATTGTGGGTTGTTATTATTATTATTATTATTATTATTATTATTAATTTTTTAAAAATTTAAGATTTTAGGAAGAAGAATAAAATACCAAGCATGATTTGTGACATTTCAAACTTGTTCTTCCTATTACAAACTTACCAATGGGTTGTTTTTCCCAAATATTTTTTGTAAATAAACTGAACTTGTTTGGTGTTATACAAATTCTTATTTAACTCATATAACAGAATTGAATGACAGCTCTTGTGGATTTGCGTAAGTCAATCATCCTTTACAATATTGTCTCAGAGGGAAACTCTGCTGAGGAAACCATCACCCTCCCCAGGAAGTGGGAGGAATCTTCMTCAACCTCTTTATAGCAGGAGCTGAAGAATTCTCTCCTCCACTGTGGCTATTTTCTCAGGGATTTTGCTGAGGGCTCAGGGAGGTAGTCAGACAGGCTGGGACAATGGTGGCATCCTGTGAGAAGGATTTTAGCAAATGCTGGGTGGTGGTTCATAAGTCCTGTGCTTTAAAATGAACTGCCTGTGTTGTATAGATAAGCAAATGCAAAGTTGCACAAAAAATATAATATTATATTCTGTAGAATTGACCTTGTGTTTTATTCTGGACAAGAAATGTCACATCTAATCTCAGCATGCCAGAGGGAATGCTAAAAATGTAGCCTAAGGTAATATTCAGCAAATGTCACTTGTAGACAATGAGAGATGTATTAGTGTGACCTTGGGCCAAATCAGATCTCAGTGTTTAAAAAAAAATTAGCTGATAATTGTTAATACTTAAAGTTGTCTACGTTGATGATTGTTGATCTTTAAAATACTATTTTTTTAATTTTTAAGCAAAACTACTCATAAATTTAAACTTGAGGATGACCATTGGAATATGAATAGAAACTGAAAGATTAATTAAATTATTTTTAGTACTTAACAGAATTTTTTATGCAGAATTTGAAACATTATCTTACTTTTAAAATTTAAATTATCATATTAAAAAGAATCTAGGAACAAAAGTATTGTCATTTATTTCTTTCCCTTTTAAATCAATATTCTACATTATTTACCAATACTTCTTAACAATCTAGAAATAATATTGCTAATTTTCTAAACTGTATTAATCAGCATTGATATTTAATTCAGCCAGCAAGTAGAAGAAATGGTACTTTTACAATTATGTAATCACACCAATTTGTATAATTTTGTTGTTTTTATTATCAATATATTCATCTGTCTTTTAAAAAGAAGTAGTCAAAATGATTAACTGCATGAAAAGAGTGAAAAAATACCAAATTTTGTAAAAGCACACCTCATAATCACTAGAAATGTTTCTTTTTGATTTTATGGTTCTCATTTAATGAATATAAGACTAATGAAGAAAAATTGGACCACAGTTCTTAGAAAAGATTTTTCTTAAGGAGAAATTATTATGTCAATGAATTCTCAGAAACTTACTGACTGCTTGATAGTGTCATATTTCAGGAGTAATGAGAAAAATAGTATATGATTTAATTTTCTACGGTGTTCTAAAAATGTTTTTATAGCATAATCACTAATGGTATTGTAAGTTTCAGGCCCATTATTTTCTCTTTAACTAACCTTCGTAGGATTTTCATAGTGCCCTTTTCTCTCTGTTAAACTCAGTTTATCAGTGTAAAGTCCCATATCACATTTAGACATGAGAATCTGCATTCAAACTGATAAAGGATGGAGAAAAACAAATTTTGCCTATTAAATKTTTTCCTATTTGCCTGCTATTTAAGTGAACTAGATATAGCTAACTTTGACAAATAACTTGTTACAAAGTTATAATGTGCCAAGTGTGGACTGAGACCTATGAAAAGCTAGGAATGAAGCATGAAAAGATGCAGAAGGGAGGTGGAGATGTTGTGATTTTGAAAAACTGGAGAGCTAGTGATCAGTGTAAGGATTCAGATTGTGAAGGCGTAAATATCGAATGAATTAAGTCCCATTAAGTAAATTCACCAGATCATGGCATGGTTTTGAGGGTCAATGAAAAATACTAGAGTATTAAAGTATAATTTCAAAAACGATAAAAAATAACTTTCATAACAAAGGTAAAATGAACAATTTGAGGATTTCACTCAACTCAGTAACTAACAAGGGAACTAAAAAATGTTAGAACTAGTTTGAAGAACATTCGAGAAGTAGTAATTTATATGCATTGTATATAAATAAATATTGGTAATCACAGGATTAGATTCAAGATTGCTTTTGTGTCTCGCAATATGAAAAATCATAACCATTAAGGTTATCACACTGGACAGACCTTATTCAAATTTCTACTGGATAAAACTATATGAATTAACCCATATCTTTTGAGTTACATAGTAGCTGCACTGAGAGAAATTCATATTCAGCCATATCCTAAAAGAACACCATTGGTATAATTTGCCTGTTTTCACATTTTGGCTAATTTCTCTGATAACAGTGATATTTCAGGGGCTAGGGTTATGGCTCAGCAGTAGAGTGCTTGCCTTGCACGTGCAAGGCCCTGGGTTCAATCCTTAGCACCACATAAAAATAAATAAAATTATTAAAAAAGTGAAATTTCATTATTTTTCTCTCATAATTATAAGCATTAATTAGAAATATCTGAAATAAAGATCATACACACACCTGAAAATTCTATGAAGATATCCCAAGTTAATAATGGAGGGGCTCTGGGATATGACTATTTTAATTATTATTTTACAACTCAACTCCATTTCCATRTCAAAAGCAGAATTGTGTAAGATGATGTGAAGAGTAAAATGTATAGTTGCCTTCAGATTACAGATTGCTATCTGGCAGTTTCACAAATAATCTGTGGAAGAAAATGTGACTTATTTCTTTTGTCCCCAGAGTACTATCATTTATAGGGACATTTTTCCTCTCCCTTTTTGTAGTCTGTCGCCCTAAAGGGGGAATCAGCTTTTCAAGAGTGTTCCTGAAGATGATGAACACTGGATGTTTTATCCTGTGCCCATGAGTTCTTTCTATTGACTGTTAACCCTCCCCTTCCCACAAAGCCTTCTCTGGGATCTTGCCTCTTGGCACCTTGCAGGCAGAGGAAGAGAGAATGAAGGAAGCCTTCCAAAGCAAAGGTGGAAGGAGAAACAGGTATGGTAAAAAGGCTCAGCTTTTCCACAAACATTCTGGAATTTAATAAGCCCTTGTATCCCTCACTTCTGTCTGGTAACTTTGGCCCTGCAGAGCAGGGGAATTGTGAGTGTAGGCTTATGTGCTCTCTTCTTACATGGAACCCATATTTTAAATGGAGCACTAGCAACTCTGGAGCTCATTGGTCCCTTGGAGGATCTTTACTATTGTYCTGGAAGAAGGAATGAGAAGAAGCCTGATGTGACAAAAGTATAAAGAAGACAAATCTGTTTTTTTTTTTTTTTTTACTTATTTCTGTTTTTTTTCTCATGATGCTCTCCAACTTCATCATACCTCTTGCCTCTGTCACCCAAGTGACCAATATTCTCAGTGT